TTAAAAACTTTTATAAAATATTCTATTTAAAATATTTTATGCTATTATTGTAGTAATCACTACTTCACTATAACTAGAAAAAAAACTGCGCCCGATTTTATAATAAAATTGGTGAATCTCAGATCACTTGATTTGCAGCTTTTTACAGGGGTAGACTTGAAACTTATGCACGAAGATGCTATATAATTTTAAATAAAACATTTAAAACTTCTATAAAATATTCTATTTAAAAATATTTTAAGCTATTATTATAGTAATTACTACTTCAATATAATTACTGTAGAAAAAAATACTGCGCTCAATTTTATAAAATTGGCTGCGATGATCATTTTTCTTACTATTGATATACAGTAGCCTCTTACGTATGGCTTCATTCGACATGTGTAAGCTTAATTTAGGCCAAATTAGTAAATTACCCGGGCGTTATTTCAAGAATTATGGTATGGAGAAATTTGGTTCGTTTATAAATGTTGTACATGCTTTAATCTTTTCACATTTCGTCGCTAGTATGAATAATCAGCTGGCATTGAAAAACTTTTTATAAATAATAAAAAAAGTGTAAGGGTCGTATATTGTTTTAACATTCTGGCAGACCTTGTTTCTAAATGCTTTAAGGACTTCCAATCTTTTAAGGCTAATGACATGCACTTAAATTAATTTCTGTAATTTCGGCTTTGTTGTTGATATAGGACGTTAAGTAATTTGATTTTATTCAGTTCACTAGGTTAGATTGTATTATTATTATAAATCTGTTGAGAACATTGATTCCAGTAAATAATATAAGCTTGTATTTATTACAAATGTAATCGAGTTTGAACTTAATTAGTACATTAAGTAGAATTTGTCTTACTTAACTTATACCTAAATTGTAAAAAATCTAAACCCACCTAAATTTAATGCCGCCTATGTTGTAAACACTGCCAGGAACATTTAGATGTTATGGTAAATTTTATAAAAGTAATAACTAAGATATTATTGGTTTGAATTTGCTGCAAGGTATAGAAGGTATAGGTATTTTTGCAAAAAATGATGACCTATGTTTTAAGTGAATGAATAGGAAAATTCCAGAAATTTAACAAGTCAGATCTTACCTCTCATTTATTTGTCATAATTTAGAAGTCACAGAGATCAATCATAGATTATAATAAGCAACAGCTTACGTCTAGTATAGATAATTTCTAATATCTTTGATACCTTTTTAGCATTTATTGATTGACTCATGCTTAATCATGTCTAGCATCTACGCCACAAATTATTACCTTTTTAGTTAAAATCATAAAGAAAAATCTAATATAATTTTATTTGCTGCAATATATCAATATTTAGCTATGTATCACAGCATATATTACATCCAAAAATTCACTAAATTGGAGTACACCAATAAGCTTATTAATATTGAAGATACTCCGATTAGTGAACTTTGGGACTAAATTCGAATAAATAGAGCACATTACCAGTTTAGGCTTTGTGATAAGAATTAACTTACTAAATTTTAACATTTATGTCTTGAAGTTCATAATTGCTTATCTTTTTTTAAAAAAAATAAATTATATAGAAAATGTCCGAATTATCTATTATAGATTGTATGTTTTTTTTATTAAATCTATGCCATTAAACATTTATGATTAACCAAAATTTTTGATAACATTCCGTATTGCTAAATATATCTGTATACTGCAGATGAAAACTTTGCAAATAGCGAAATGCCACGTCTCGATTATGAAGTTGAAGATTTCCAATATTACACGTGGAATATCACTGGTTGGGGAAATTTGGCAGAAAGGATGACAAGTCCCGAATTTGTTGCTGGAGGTTGGAGATGGTAGGTTTATTTACATTTAATTTATATAAGTTTACATAGCTAAACTTTCTTAATTGAGAGCTTAAAATTTAGGCGCATCTTGCTTTATCCTTTTGGAGATGACGATAATGATGCTGTTGAAATTTATCTGGATTTTGCTTCTCGGTATGATGCACCTAATGGTTGGCATTCCTGTGTACAGTTTGCTTTTGCCTTATGGAATCCGGAAGACCCTACGAATTATGTCTGTTATAGTAAGTATGTGAACCATTCATCTATAATTCTTGCCAATAATATTACTTTTATTAATAGGTGGCAAGGGTCGGTTTACTGCTGAATCTACAAATCGGGGATATTCCCGGTTTTGCGAACAACGTATTTTGTTTATTCCATCGGAAAATAAATCTCGTCCTTTAATTGAAAATGATTCTTGCAATATTACTACCTTTGTTCGTATTATTAAGGATCCAACTGGCTTCCTATGGCATAATTTAAAAAAGTATACTTCTTTCACTAGGTTTTAAGCTTAATTTGGTCTTTAATATGTAAATCTCTTTGCATAGCTATGATTCAAAACAAGCAACCGGTTATATTACTTTAAAGAATGAGGGAACTACTGGTTATTTGAATGCTACGCTACAATTATTATTCAATTTAACCTATTTTCGTAAGGTCAGTGGCATTTATTAAACTTTAAACCAGCATTTAAGCTTTATGGCATTCACCTTTTGATTATAGGCAGTGTATCAAATCCCTACGGACAATAACGTGCAAAATAATAGTGTTCCATTGGCATTACAAAAGATTTTTTATCAAATGCAAACATCAGATAATCCAGTTGAAACAAAAGAATTAATGAAATCTTTTGGATGGGATTCATTAAACTCTTTTATTCAACATGACGCCCATGAGTTTAGCAATATACTACGGAACAATTTAGAAGGTAAAATGAAGGTGAGTTTTATTATTTATTGAGCTGAATCTAACATAGAAGTATGTCTCGCAAGTTATAAACTTCACATATCGCGAGATACATTAAATTATATATGAATTCCACAATCCTGCATTGATTTTGTTGCTTATCCAATTTATTTTGCGAAATAACGCAATAATCTCGAAGGATACATTTCTAGTTTTATACACAAAATCTATTGTAAACTACCGGTGATTTCTGTTCAACTAAAACAATTAAGAGTCAGAAAATTTACATTACTTAAACAATTTCATTAACCGTTATATCTGAACTTCCAGTTAAAAAATGGTTTCAAAAAAAAAAATAGAGCAGTTGTGTCGCGACAAAAGTTGTTACTGACTAATTAATTCGCAACAAATTATAGAATGCTATTTCGAAGCTCTTTGCAGGAAAAATAAAGAGCTACATTAAATGTATTTCCGTAAACTATGAGTCGTCACATGTTGAAGATTATTATGGTAGCAATGAATACATTATTTATGAATAGGTTTGCTATTTTTTTAAAATTAATTTAAAGTAACATTTAGTTATATCGTTATAGATATTCAACTTAACGTAAAGGGATGCAAGACTCTGGAAGATTCTTTCATGGATTATATAAAAGAGGAAACATTAGAAGGAGATAATGAGTACTATGCTGAAGGCCATGGCCTACAGGTAATTGGGGTTTTGGTTGCTATTCAAAAATATATGCAAGATTGGTATAATTATCAACATTTATTGAGAGTACAGTAAACATTCTAATTTATAGGATGCGAAGAAAGGAGTTATTTTTGAAAGTTTCCCATCCGTATTACATTTGCAATTAAACCGGTTTGAATACGATGTCAAAAGCGCTACACCCAATAAGGTACGTACGTCGTACCTCTGTCGATATTATCTGTTATATAATTTAATTATTACCAGTGTTGAATATAAGATTGAAATTTACTGGTACCTAGCTATATAAGTGATCTGAAACAAAACTTGCCTGAAACTAATTTCAGGAAATAAAATCCGAATCCCAATATATTGTTATAGTATTATTTTAGGTTGAGGTTTTTAATTTTAAAAATTATCAAACTTAAATAAGTTTCAGGTCACAAGTATACCCCTGGTCGAAGCCATATATTTATTAAGAATTTTAGCATAAATTTATTGCTGCTCTTAGACCCAATTATGACATATAACTTTTATTGATGAAAAAAATTGTTTAGATAAATTCTTATTATGAGTTTCCCATGGAAATTGATTTACAAAAATATTTATCACCAGAAGCAGATAGGTCAAAACCGCACAAATATTTACTTTATGGGTTTGTAGCAATATGAATTTTTTATGTTATTGTATGATGTTTCATAGCAAATTATTTTCTTACCCTTTATTATTTTCAGAGTGCTTGTTCATAGTGGTTACTATCATGGAGGCCATTATTCTGCTCTAATAAAACCAACAAAGGACGGAAAATGGTCATATTTCTTGGTTTCTAATCTTAATCGTATGATAATGAACTGCAGAATAATTAACACTGTTCAAAAATAACAGGTTAAAATTTGATGATGATAGAGTAATACCTGTGACAGAAAATGAGGTGCTTGAAAGTAATTATGGTGGCGGCATCGTACTCTCAAGTGCATATGTACTGGTGTATATTCGTGAATCTGATATTGACGATGTATTACCTCAAATGCTTCCTAATGATATACCAATACGTTTGGGTGAATATTCTTACAATATATTGTAATTTGAATTTGATGGTAAATTTATCAATTTATTTTTAATAGAAAGACGTCTTGATGAGCAAAAAACAAAAGATGTAGAAGACCAAAAGTTACATTTATGTGTCAAGGTAACTCAGCTAATACAACATATTGAAATTAAAATTTGCATTAAATCTAAATTTACAATTAATTTAAACTTTATTTAATTTTAATGTTAGGTCATAAGTCCAAAAGCTTTAAATCTCCATCAAAACTATGGCATCGCTAATTTTAACAATCCACGATATCCGCTATCTGAAGTTACACAACTTAAAGTTTTAAAAATTGAGACATATAGAGAATTTAAAGATAAATTCGCAGCCAAGCATGGGATTCCAACCGAACAAATTAGATTCTGGGGTGTAAGTCATAATATTAGACCAATTACAGGCGTTTATCTTAACTTGCGTAAGTGATTCGTAAAATGTGATTTCAATGATTCTATTTGGTCAGTGGTGAATTTTTAGCTTTTTTATGATAAATAGCAATGAGTAGAATTTATGAAATAACTGCTTCAGAAAAAAATGAATTGAGATTGTATTTGGAAATCGCACACAAGCCAATTAATGACGAGGTAATACTTTTAATAATTATTACGCATACTGCAAAGTATATTATTAATTTTCTTGATATGTGTAGAGATGGTTCCCGGAGTATACCCACATAATGATTTTTATCAAGTATTTTGACTCTAACACACAATATTTGGAGTATGTTACATTAATTTTTATTATTTTTATTGGGAAAAAATTAAATTTTGCATTTATTATGGCACATGTCACAGATGGCTTGGTCATATATATATTCAAAAGCAATATAAGATTGATAGTATCATTCCAATTCTTTGTGAGAAAAAAGAATTTCCACCACACACACCTTTGAAATTATACAAAGTAAGCTTATATTTATTTTTATATTTTTGAGCATACATTCATTTTTATAGTTTATCATTTTTTTGCAAAAATATAGGAAAAAGGATCTAAAGTGACTGAAAAATTAAATAATTTACAAGATTGTGATATAATTTGCTTCCAGAAGGATATAACAAAAATGTAACTTATTTATTAACCCTTGTTTCGTTATTAAATCGCTTTTCCTTAAGTGAATATTTTTTCATTAGAAACCGGGAAGGTCATGTCTATGATATTCCAACATTCTATAAATCATTATCTACGCGTATCATTGTTCAATTTAAACCAAAACTTAAAGATGCGAGACAACTACCTGAATTTGAGTTAGCCTTAGACAAGGAATACACATATGATATTGTAGGTTGAAGTACTTTTTATGACTCTAAGGCAAACTTAAACATAATACTGTATTCCTACGAAAATAAACATCCCTAATCGTCTACCCGTGTGATTTTAATAGCTAAATTCTCGAGACTAACGATAATTTTAGTACGTATCACTGAGAATTCGACTCAAATAACGCGTATCAAAATATCACAATCTCGAGAATTTTGGTTATTAAAATTACGTGAAGTGGTATTTATTTTTGGAGGAATACTTTTTGATCATTATAATCCTCCAAAATGACATACTTTTCCATAAATAGGTTGCTAGCCACGTTGCTACATATTTAAATACAGATCCTTTGAAATTACGGTTTACATCATCGCATATAACATTCGGTACACCTAGTTCCGTGATCAAAAAAGGAGTTAATACAATTTTAAAAAAAATGCTTCCAATAAGATATCAATCTTTACCTGCCTCGGCAAATCTTTTGTATTATGAGATCTTAGATTTTAACATTGTAGAATTAGAGACAAAAAAATTCTTTGTAGTGTTATGGCTTGGAGCAACTTTAAAGGAAATGGTAAATAGAATAAAAAGTATTCTGATTAATATATTAAGTAGTTAATTTATCAACAAATTTACTTTTTCAATTTACTTTTTCTTAAAGGATGTTATCAAGATTCTTCTTCCAAAAAATGCCATAATTGATGATCTTATAAAAGAGATTTTACAAAAACTGTCATTACCAGGACCTACCAATAGAGTCAGACTGTTTGAAGTTTCAAACTTCAAGATTTTAAAAGAATATAAAAGCAATAATTTAATATGTAAAATACAGGAAAACGCAACATTATATGCAGAGGTTTGTTCTTTTGGCTTTTGGATCTTTTGTTTCTTTTTATAATAGAAGATAAATTATTTCGTATTTAGGAAATTACTCAAGATGAAATTGAACGGGGTATTGATGACAAAGTTATTCAAGTATATCATTTTACTACAAGGCCTTCATGTGCACATGGAATTCCATTTAAATTTATTGTTAAAGCTGTTAGTATCTCTGGGTAGATTTGTCGTTTAGTTTAATCATTTCATAATTTGAATATTTCTCATTTTTATATAAACAGGGTGAGCTTTTTTCAGCAACTAAGTTACGCCTTCAGGCACGTTTAGGAATGAACGAAGCAGATTTTGCGGAAGTAAAAATTGCGATTGTACAAGAGATGCCAAACGTCAAATTTGAATACATAATTAGTGATAGTATGTATATCATGTCTTCTTAATTATTTTATCTTATTTAAGATTACGTATTAGAATCATTAATTTTTTTATATAAATTTATGAACATAAATAGATGTAGTTCTATCGCACGATAATTGGACATCTGGTAAATATCTAGGTCTTGACTATGTGTGCAAAACAGAGCGCATAGGAATAGTGGGTGATGATAGGAAAGCGATATATATAAAAGAATAGCATACTTTGTTTGCTGTAAAATTTCTTTTTTATAACCTTTTCTGCTACTTATTCTGAAATAATTATTTATATATTGTTCCAAGTTGGAATATTTGGATAGTTAAAATAAGTCATTAAATATTTCAAGTTGAATATTTAAAATAAATTATTAGATATTTACCATTACACAATAAGTACAATGAATATTTACCAACACAAACACCTGATAGTTGTCCGATTGCGCGATTGTAAATGATTATAAGTGCGTTTTTTGGCCAAAGATTCAATATTATTGCGATTTGCATAATTTTGTGACTCTTATTATTAATTTTTTTATGATTAAATGATTGTGCTAAAGCCGGCCAATTTATCATAAATCTGAATTTGACACAAACTCAGATTCATGATAAATTGACTGGCTTTAGACAATCGTTTAACCATAAAAAAATTAATCATAGGAGTCACAAAAATGCAATAAAAAATTTGCAGATCTATGCTCACGTGCACGGGGTAAAATTAGGGCTGTTAAAAGTAAAATTTCTTTCAGTCCATGCTCCGTAAATAGGGACTTTAATAAGAAATTGATTCTTAAGTTGAGTCTGATACGCATCATCGTATGGCATGTTGATACTGCCATAGTAAATGAACCTAATAAAACGAACTTAAGTGGTAAATATCCATGCAATGATAGGTGACGCAACCACGTGATGTTAATCGTCACATGCTATTACTTATAAAAAATCAAAATAGATTGTTGAATTTTTATAAGGAATAGCATGTGACAATTAGCATCACGCGGTTGCGTCACCAATCACTACATCCATGAACATGGTTATCCATAAATTCATGTGTATAAATAGTATTTAGGTCGCAATTGGATCAAATCGGCAAGCGGGTGATCCGTGGGTTGATCCACGACCGGGCGATCATAATTCATCCCGGATTGAGACACTAACTCCTAAGCTTATCACTAAACCTTATTATTAATGAGAAATGAATAGCTCATCTTAGTATTCGATTCTGATAATAATCACTAACTTGCAGCCTGAATAAACATAAATGAGAAATGATCATTAAATACTTCAACTAATAAGGAGTATTGGTTATTAAACAACGCGTTTGATATATTTTATTAATTAATGCAAAGAGATTGGATAAGGAATGATATAATTTATTTGAAAAGTATTTTACACATGTGATATGTATCACCATTTGGATGCATCCAGCAAATAGAGCCAGATATTAAACGTTATTAGGCGTGTTATATTTGGATAGTGGATAGTTCAAGGCTTCGGTCGTCGATACTTCGGAGTTATTCTTTTTCAACAAATGGGCTAGGTGCTGGAAAAAGAAATGAAATTGACAAAACAAAAGATCTTCAGAAAATCAATTTTTTGTGTTATAAATCTTATAGATAATAAGAAAATACAAACTTTAAAGAGCTATACTGCAAAATTTTATTAACACAGCTACTTTTGTGTCTTAAGTGAAAAAAGATCCTAATCTTATTCTAAATTAATTTATGTTAAAAAAAATTTTGGTTTAAATTGTCATTTTCGTTCCTTTTTCCCTAGCCCATATAATCACAGTTGTCCTCAGTATGTCAGGACACTGGACACAACAACCACGGAGTCATCAGTACGTCGAGAAACCAGTGTTGGAACATGACCTAATGTGACCTAAATGACTAAGTGACCAAGTCATGCCCAAATCATCAAATATGTAATAAAAGTGTTGTGACATGACCAGTCATAACAGGTCATGTCACCAAGTTAAAGTAGTGACCTGTTATGACCCGGTCATATTCCAACACTGCCGGACAGAGTAAGAAATACAAACGGATAATTTATAATTCAGCACCATTTTAATTATAATAAAATGGTGTTGGTTATAATCATAACATGTACTAGAGGATTGTAAAATAATTTTTTTATATGCTGCACACCGAATGAAGGATCATTTGTGTAACATCGACGGTTCCTCCTGTTGCATAACTATGCCTAACAAAGATTATGAAAATGACGCATTCATATTGAATTTTTGGCTAAGAAATCACTTAACAATCACATAATGGGACAACGATCAGGTGATTGTATAGGTGAGCGGCGATCTACCAAATTGATCATTTGCAAATCACAATACAGCAATAATTGACTCATTGTGACTGTGCCGTCAATCAATTATTCAGTATGCCTGGTGATTATCGTTCCAACAACCCAATAAAAAACCTAAAAAGAAGGCCAAGATTTGCACCGAGTCGTAGATATTTATGTCCAAAAGTCATGTCTTTGTCGTAACTCTAGGCGTACGGTCAGATACGTGGTTTTTTTCGCTTTTAAGTATAAGTTTTTCTCTTTGCAGTTATACGTTTGTTTGGCCTGTATTCTTATGTGAGTACGCGTGCAAATAAAAACAGATTATTTGAGTAACATGGATTCACATGTGCAGAAATTGATCAGTAATCAAAATATCTAGCCAATCAAATCGCCGTGGATTGCTAGGAAGATCACCCTCCGAGAGTTTCCGATCAGAAAGATTCGGACATAGACCGGAAAATCATCTTTTCTTGTTGATTCTATAGTTTATTATTGCAGTTTGCATAATTTTGTGAAGTATAGATCACCACTCACCTATACAATCACCTGATTGTCATCTGATAGTGTGATTGTAAGGTGATTTCTTAGACAAAAGTTCGTAATCTTTGTTAGGCATAGTTATACGTACTCACACAATCGAACATCAATCTATAGGTGTGCAACGATCTATAAATTTGATTTTTATATTATCTGTAATAAATAAACTATATAATCGGTTACTGGATTTAGTATAGTAAAAAGAATGATTTACGTACATGTTAATAACAGATGTGAGACATGTCCCCTTGGTTGTTGTCACATATAAATCAAATGAGTTGACTCACCCAAATTTATATATAAAATTTGAC